TATAGACAAAGACTGAAGTAAAGAAGGCACTGACTTGGCCTTCTCCAAGGGATTTGTGACCAGTTCCCCCAGCCCAAGCTGCAGTGCAATTAACTAAAACATCCTCATAGGTCTATACTGGGAAACACATGCTTATATGACATGATCTTTCTCCTGATCTGGAGATGGATTTCCCGCCCCCCCCCAGTTTTTGCTTGATTTTTTTTTTTAAAGAACTGTAAAAATGTTCTAAGTGACTTCACTTTTCTTTTATCTTGCATTTTTTAAGTGATCACCACTCGCTATGGCCCTTATCTATAACAAGGTCTCATGTTCAAGCTCACGGCAGATGTGATTCAGTCATGTTACCCATGCAGAACAGCCTCTTAAGTTGAATCAAGATTTCCAATAATATTAAATTTTTGTTGGCAGAGAAACCAGTATCTGAAGAAGATGCCTCTACTTGTCTATATCTAACAAATCCAACCAGATTTCAGATTATTAATACTTGCTCAAGTAAAGGCTTGGTATCCTTTGCTTACTATTTTTTACAGTTCTGCTTCAGAGTTATTTCTCATACAGAATTTGGATGAAGACTTTATTTTGAAATTATTTACTTCTCTGCAGAGGAGTCACAGTGTTATGAAATGTCACATGACTATTGAAAAGAATTTATATTACTGAAAATCTTGTTCTTTAGAACTGAAATCTATAGATAGTCCCTTTGAAAGCAAAGGACAAAATTAATGTCCACTTTATGGGGACTATGAATACTCTTCCAAGCACGAAACCAGTAAGCAAAGCATCTTTTTTGCACATTGAAGTATACCTGTTGCTTGTCTCTGAGGGATCCTTTCTCAACTATTCTGCTTACTCCTTCCCTTTCACCCTTATTACTTGTGCAAAAGTAAGTTTTGCTCTATGCAGAATTTCATAGTTTGTTGTTTGCAAGGTATTACAAACTCTAGCGTTTATCAAATGTGGTGGATTTAAGATACTACATGAACTCCAAACTGATAAGCATTTCATGGAGGAAGTAGTTCTATTGGATACTAGCTAAACATCCACTTGAAACCATAAGGCATTTTTATAACACAGTTCTTTGTTTCTCCTTTCAATCCTGCAAGATTCCTCATTTGACTGAACAAAATTTTAGTACACACAGGGTCCCTCTTCAGAATCAGACTGGATAAGAGGCGCTGTAACTGAGAAATGGCTCTACAGACACACAGACATTGGTGATTTGATTAGGAAAAGTCAAACAAGTAACCACACTGCCAGTCGTGTGTTGTTTCGGGGTTATCTATCACTGTAAATAAAAAAGCTAAAGTACAGAGAAACAGCCTTATTACTAGAACACGGGTTGTGAAGAATGCTGCAAATAGGTGATGAGACATCCCCTTGTGACAGACAAAAAGTATCCCTTGTGGGGACAAGAAACATTTCCTTTCAAAGCTCCTCTTGAGCTTCCCAATTGGGAAATTCCAGAAAGCAAGCAATTTCAGGGTTCTTCAAATTCCTGTGGATGTGAGATGTGGGGAAATAAGAAGGAAGCCACCTCGTACTACTCAGGCTATTGGTAGAAATAAAGACAAAATCCTTGAAAAACTGGTAAAGAAACTGTAGCCACTTCCCCGGAAGTAAACAGAGAGACTATAATGAAGAACAGATTAAAAACTGATAACGATAAGAATGCGCAAGTACTAAGGAGACAAGACTATACATTAAGATGTAGCAATAACAGAAGCCAAGTAAGCAAGACTAGAGAGCAGCTTCCCTACACCTGCTTTG